TCCATACGCAAGCCAACTTGTAAGGAAGGCTCCATTAAATACCTAGATTTCTTTTTACACAATGATGTCCTAATACAAATACTTTTCCTTAATTTTATTTGCCATTGCAATGAATATTTCAACGTACATATGCAAACATGTATTCTTTGTGCCTGTGGGAGTTGAAAGCCTTCTAGAAGTGGGTTTAGAAGAGGGCACCACAATATGGAATGGCTCAAAGGATATTTTAGGGGAATCTTGTTTGTTAAGGACAAGGGTAGATCTTTATTGCTTCTTTATCGAGCTTCGCTCTGTAACTTTTCCCTTAGATATGTGTAGGTATATTTTAAATATAACTAAGTACTTGTAAAAGCCAACAAATGGAAACACTTCCCCACCCCCCAAACAAAAAAACAAAAACAAAGAAAGAGAACAAATTTATGGAATTAATTAAAACTTAATATTCCCTTGGAATCATTGGATATTGCAGAATGCACTTAACTGAGTCTAGGATATGTTAAATATAGCTTGTCCAATGTCTACATGAACATCCCTTGGCCAATTTTGAAAGAAATGATTAAACAAATTGCCAATCTAGGTAGAAAATCGTTAGATATGATTGGGAATTTGTAACAATTTTATGGACTCTTTAGTTTCCATGAAAGAACCTGGCGAGTATATCTGGGAACTAGGCGATTCGGGTTGGTTGAATCACCCTTATCAAATATTTTTTCATAATTAAGAATATTATTTAATTATTTGGACTATTTATCACATGAGAGAATCAATCCTATGGCTGATTTGGATGTTGGTTCAAAGTCAAGATTGGATTTTCAGAATGTCAGTTTGCATGGTTACTACAATTTTTGAAACACTGGTGAAACTCATTTACATTTTATACAAGTACCTCCTCAAAAAAAAAAAAGTGCTGAAATGGCCAAGTTAGGAATAATGAACATTCAAGGACATTTCAACAATTTGACACCCAAGAGGCCTAAACAAAATGATGAACACCTAGTTGTTCATAGTTATAAATATAAAAAAAACATTGTTCAGGTGCCCTATTGGGAACAATTAGGGGTATTTATTTTACTTGGCACTAGAATCCAAAAATGATAAAAATAAGCTTAGTTGGTTCCCATTATTAACCTTGGACATTGCGTTCGTCCTATTAGGATTGTTGAGCTAAGCATAAAGCAAATAGGAATAGTCCCTGTATAAGAGTGTTTGAAGGCCTCCCTCATTACTAACCCTGGAAATTATGTTCCATGGAAAATGATCTAATGCCATTTTCATCATTGTATACGGGCATCTTAGAGGGCTTAAAGGGAAAAGTTTATACAGAGCCGAGGCTCTAAACAATCAAATTTGAGCCTATCTCAAAATTTTCACTAGAAGATGTTGTTTTGATGCTCAAATATCCTCAAATTAATCGTCTTGACATGAAGATGTATGGACATGAGAAAAAAATAGATTTCAAGTTTTGGAAATAGTATATTTTCTAATATATTTTTGGACCGTCAATTTTCAAGATTTTTAAGTTTTTATAGATATGTCGATCTACATTATTTTTGAAGCTTTAAATTTTATAAATAAAGATAAAAATATGTTTGAAGGCTATCACAAAGATTTCTAGTATTAAAATCGCATTTCTCGACTATCTGAAGGTAGGCTCTAATTGGATTGTTTAGAGCCTAGGTTCTATACAAACTGCACCCATACTTAAATGCCTCTTATTATTAGGTTTTCAAATCCTAAACAATGGTATTTTGGAAATTTTTGACATTTTTTTTAGAAGGTACATGTGAAACGAAAATGAAAAAGAAAATCCTCGAATGCTACTTGGGATCATTTTACGCCTTCAATAATTTTTGTAAGGGGGCCCCTAAACAATACTTTCCTCAAATGTTTTAAGGAAAAAGTTTATATGAAGATGCTACCTTATTATGTAGAACTACATATGCCCCCCAATAATCCATCGGAAAAGGTAGTTTTAATGTTGAAAAACCCTTTGATTGATCATCTCGACATTGAGATGTGTGACTATGAAAATTAAAAAATATTTTAAATCTCAGAGATAGTGCATTTTACAACATATTATCTACACTGTCCATTTTCAAGATTTTCATATGTTTATAGATCTACTTGATTTTAGCTATTTTTTAACTTTAAAATTTTATAATTAGATATAAAATTAGATTTTGAGATAATCTTAAAAACATTTTACATCAAAATTATATATAAAATTTGAAGGTGCACCTTACCTCTACACCTACGGATGCATCTTTATGTCAACTGCACCCATGTTTTAAATATATAACCGTAATCGGTGGCGTTGATTCTTAACAAAGAGTTCATGTTTTAAATATAGGGAAATGTTTCTATACTTCCCTACAACATATAAGAACTATCCTCCCCTACCATTCAGTCATCCAATTTTGATCAAGAGAGTCACTCACTGTTTGATCTTAGATCCGACGTTTCAAAGTATTTTATTTTTAGTTTTTTTCATACAATTTATATGAATATGAAATTTGGTACGTGCCATTTTCTCATTAGGGTGCACCTATAAAAAAAGTATTACAAATATTTTTTCCATAAAATTTAATGACCAAAATACCCCTTGAAATTTTAGGGGTATTTTGGTCATTTTATTTTATTGGAAATATTTTTTTTACATTTTTCATTAGTGCAAGTTTAATAGATGATTGGACGTGCAAAATTTGGTGTCAATATAGTTTATAAAAAAATTTAAAAGTAAAATAGTGTGGAGACGTGACATTGTGATTGAAGCAATCTTAGCCCTCCATTCATAATGAACGCTAGAATAGGGGAAATATATAAGTTTTATAGAAAGCTCTCCCTTAAATATATAACCGTAATCGGTCGTGTTCATTCTTAACAAAGAGTTCAGGTAAGATAAGTCAATTGCGGCACACAACGAAAATCATGAAAGAGTTCGTGCAATTCTTTTTGGGCATGTTTGGATTGGAAGAAATTTGGATATTTGGATATTTGAAATCCAAAAAAATCTACGAATTTCCAATATCAATGATTATTTCATATATTCTACAAATATCTGGTTTGGATATACAACACAAAATTCATTTATTCGATACAATCATCTCCGTGTCTATTGTTTGGAAACAAATGATAGAACTTTTCTCTATAAAATTTTAATATACTTTCTCTCTTTAAAACTCAAAATTTGGGATAGAGCTCTCTAAAAATTTTGAAAAAATTTCCCTTTCTAAAATTTGAATACTCTCCCTCTTTTTAAAACTTAAAATTTTAAATAATTTCTCTCTCTAAAATTTTGAGATACTTTCTCTCTCTAAAAAAATTTAGTATTTCATTTATCTAAAATTTGATATAGTTTCTCTCTAAAATTTTAAGATATTTTCTCTCTATAAAACTTAAAATTTGAGATAGTTTCTCTGTCTAAAAATATTGAGATACTTTCTCTCTAAAAATTTTGAGGTCATTTCTCTATCTAAAATTTAATTTAGTTTCTCTCTCTAAAATTTTAAAATATTTTCTCTCTATAAAACTTAAAAATTGATATAATTTCTTTAGAAAAATTGTAAGAGTGTTTCTCTCTAAAAACTTTCAAGTACTTTCTCTCTTTAAAACTTAAAATTTGGGTTACTTTCCCCATCTAAAAATTTTGAGATAGTTTCTCTTAAAAAATTTCAAGTACTTTATCTAAAATTTTAATATAATTCCTCTCTCTAAAAGTTTTAGGTATTTTTTTTATCTAAAATTTAAAGAAACTTTCTCTCTCTAAAACTCCAATTTGAGATAGTTTCTCAATCTAAAATTTTGTAGATAGTTTCCGTTCTAAAAATTTCAGGTAGTTTCTTTCTAAAATTTTAAGATACTTTCTTTCTCTAAAACTTAAAATTTGAGATAGTTTTTATCCAAAAAATTTGAGATAGTTTCAATCTCTTAACGTTTTTGAGATAGCCTTATTCAAAATTTCGAATGGGACGCGGATTAGGCAATCCAAAAAACTGTGGGTAGCCAGCCCTATTCCAACTATTTTGGTGGAATAGCATTCTCTACATTTTTTTGCCCAAAAAACGTGCATTAGCCACTCTGCAGGATTCAGCTATCCACGCGTGAATGTTTTACCCAAATAAGAGATAATGGCCCAATACCTAGATAGCCTTATCCTGGAGAGTCCAATCCAGGTACCCAAACGGGGCTCTTAGATGTTTTTTTTCTCTAAATTTTGATATAGTTAATATCTCAAAAATTTTAAGATGCTTCCCTCACTAGAACTTAAAATTTAAGGTAATCTCTCTCTTTCTAAAATTTTGTCATTCTAAAAATTTTCAAGTAATTTCTCTCTAAACTTGGATATAGTTTTTCTCTCTCTAATATTTTAAAAATAAACTAAACTTTAAAATTTGAGATATTTCTCTCAAAAAAAATTCAAGTAGTTTATTTTCCTACAATTTAATCTAGTTTCTCTCTCTAAAATTTTAAGATACTTTTTCTCTTTAAAACTTAAGATTTATGTCATCTTCTTGCTCCAAAAATTTGAGATATTTCTCTCTCTTAAAAATTTCAAGTAGTTTATCTCTCTAAAATTTAATATAGTTTCTCTCTCTAAAACTTTAAGATACTTTCTCTCTCTAAAACATAAGATTTGAAATAGTTTCTCTCTCCCTAAGTTTTGGGTTAAGGGGCCAATAAGTGGAATCCAAGGGCCTTGGAAATTAAAAGATAATAAAAACCCAGGTTTTGGTGTGGAAATGAAATCGTAGAAAAGTTAGATGATTTTTCACGATTTTAATTTCCATGGAATTCTAATATCCTAGCAATTGAACAAAACAAACGGTGAATTTTGATAATATTATCATTGACAATATGATTAAATTTTATGTCAAAAGTTTGAGAGCCTTAGATTTTGGTTAATTATGTTGGCCGTGGTATCAAAAATACAATTTGGCACCATGGTACCACAAAATCTTCTAAATTTCCGAATGAAGTCTTGGTGGCTCCATACAATATACATCAGGAAAATCCAAATTCCCATATAGATTGAATACAAGGTTACAATTTATTCTCATGCAGTACATCATGGAATTTCACATTTCTATGGAGATTCAATCAAATTAAACATGAACATAGTCAGCTAAGACCACAAACAACCTGCAACTTAAACCTCATGAAGGGCTAAAAAGCCCAATGGCTCTGATTTCTCAAAATGGTTTTTGAATCTTGATCGATGCTTTTTATTCTTCTTCGTACTCCTAATAATGGAATTCCTAGTGATGCCCCCAGGCCTCCGAAGCTGCGAACCATCACAGATAAAGCTGGTCAGTTCGAATTTTTGTCTACCTTTGTATCTTTTTTTTGGGGAGGCAGCTGCCATATTTCGGCTTCCACGCCCCATAACAAACATGAGAGGCTTGATTGGTAGAACTTGGGTCTCCCACTCCCAAAAAGTTCCACCAATCAAACACGCCCTAAAGATTAGAAAATAAAAAATAATTTGGTCCATTAAGAGCAGATATCTCTGTGCCTGAAAAACAAAACCTAGCATGTGGGTTCACTCTGCAGGTGTATGGAGGTTTGAGCTACTTGATTCGCAGTTCAAAAAGACTAAAAACTTCAACAATTTTTATGGTTCAGTTCTAAGAAAAACAGTTCAGATTTTCAAATCTGAGGAGCCTCATCAAGTGTGTACTCTCAAATTCCCAAAAGCCCATAAAGAAAGGAAGAATAGAGAGATAGAGACAGTCATTGAAGCTCACACACCTTGTCTAGATATCTCCCAGTCCTGATCGTAGCTAACTGCCCAGAAAAAGTAGCCGCGGATATGTCGGGTAATAGCAAACCGGATCTTGCCAACAGTCGACTGAGCATCATCATAACCGACCCAAGAATCCCCTGCATACAAATACGTAGAGACAGTGGTCCTATCATACACTACAGTACCATTGTTGGCACTCTTGAACTGCACCACCTCGGTATAAGTCAAAACCCCAGTATCCCCGGGGCCTACCCCAACCGCTGGTGCCCCTATCCCATGCACATTGGGGTCTTTCAACTTCCAAGTGCGCCCATAAAGTGGCAATCCCATCACCAACTTACTTTGAGGGACCCCTGACCTTACCCACGCATCAATGCCATAGCTCGTGCTAATGTTGCTCTTAGGATCATAAAGAGCAGCATGAGCTCCAGTCTTTGATGTGTCCCATGAGCCTCTGTAGTCAAAGCACATAGCGTTAACCCAATCCAAGTGGTATTTTATGGCTTTGCTTGGGTAAGACCGAGGGGTATCAGAGAGGAAGAACTTGGGAGAGAAGTACACTGCAGCCGTCAACAAGAGGCGGGGCCTTCGAGACGAGTATGCCTCGGCCTCAATGGCTCCCCTCCACTCAAAGAAGAGTTTGGCGAGGCTGGCCATCTCATTTGGGTTAGCTGGGAATTCCCAGTCAAGGTCAAGGCCATGTAAGCCAAACTTTCGAGCAACTTCGACTGTAGAATCAATGAAAATTTTTCGAGAAGGCTTTGAGGAGGCCATGAGGGCAAAGGCAGTCGAGTTGCTACCGCCTCCTCCAATCGAAACCAGGGTTTTGACTCGTGGGTCCCGCTGCTTGATCCCAGCGGTGAATTCCGATAGCAAGACACTTTCATTTGGTGAAATCCTGAGCTTGAAAGTGAGGGGGTCCATCTCTAAGAAGGCATAGTAGAGGTGCGTGAAGTAGTTTGTGTCTATGGACGATGGGGGTCGATAAGAATTGGTCCATGAAGGCCAGTAAGCTGCTTTAATGGCCGCCATAGAGACGATGGATTCGCCTGAGAAACATAGGACAAGAATGAGCCCAAAAACCACTCTTCTCCAGCTAGCCATGGTTAAAGTTGGGTGAAGAAGTTGACGTGTGGGAAAGGTGCTTTATATAGGAAACACGCTAAACACAAAATGGTTAGAATATTCAACATGGGTTCTACCTAATACATGTCTGTCTTGTTGGATCTCTTCGTTGCATTTGTATGGTGTGTTTATCGATAGCCATGGTAGAATTTTTTATCTAATGTATTATGCAATCCACAAGAAAGAGTGAGAGAAGTGACAAGAAAGTCAAAAGATAAGTGGAATGAGCTGTGATTACTTTTCCATAGTGGTTGAGCTATGATTACTTTTGCCATAGTGATTGCTCCTCTCTCTCTCCCTCTCTCTTTCTCTCTCTCTCTCTCTAGAAAGCCGCCCCACACTCCCAAAGGATTGATATTTTGTGACTGACTTTGAATTTTCTGGTTGGAAGTATTTAGTGAGAGGAGGCTTTATGCATGTGCGTTTATTGCTTGACAATGGACAAGTTAAACTTCCTGCGCCACAATACGAGTATATAATATTTAATCTTGAAAAACAGGCTTGTTTGTTGTTATCGGTTTCAAAATTGACCTAAGATATATTCAATGTTCAAAATTGACCTAAGATATATTCAATGTTTCTAGAATGGTGGAGAAAAAGCATTACCCCAACTTGTCCAATACAAGGGGAAAAAGAAACTCCATGGTAAAATAATAATAAGTGATGTATGCGTATATAGAGATGGAATGTTCAACTGAGAACAATGGCTTCACAAATCTACAAAAAAGAACGCTATTTTACAATTTAACAGCATCTTCCTTTTCAAAATACACAGGTTTCCTTCTGGTTGGACTTTTCCCATCTAATAATAAACAGGAAAAAAGAAAAGACATTTCGAAGACCTAAATTCTTCTATATGATTTTTTAGTTTTGCTTCTTCCCACCGGACAGAATACGTGAAATTTGGAGGCCTCTGCTGAATGCTTGGTTGAATAGAAGCCTAGTTTGGAACTCTGAGACAAAGGGGAACCATGCGAGAACAACAACTGGTGTAAAGATGATGAGGCCCATGAGGTACTCATAACCCCTTGCAAGGGCTTTCACTGAGCCCCATAGACCGAAAGCCTTCATCACTGGCCTGCATGCCTGTGCAATCTGCAAAGACCGGGACACGAATAGAAGCAAGCTATGAATACCAGTATTGATAATCATTAACATGTTTGAAAGATGAGAAACATCTTAGGCAAACACACATGTATACATCACAGACATGCATGCATCCATCCATCCATCCACCTGCCTACCCAATCATACATACATGCATATAATATATATCTATACATGCAAATGAAAAGGTAGTTACATACGCATGCATATGTGCATGTATGTGCTTTTGCATGTGACTCAGCTAATATGCAACTGGGTGAGTGTTGCGTACTGGTGTACTTGTACACGTGGTTTTCCTCATTTTCCCTATGCAAGTGTGCAGATAGTCTTTACGTAGGTATTCCAGTTGGGATGACACATTTATAAAACTGACATTATCAGTGATGGAAGATCAAACAAAAAACATTTTATGGTGCATTCCAGATACATCCATTCAAATTCGGTCCCCTTCCAAGACAGAAGGATTAAGCTTCCTAAGTCATTCTAGATGCATTTCATTTTGAGATCCATGATTTTACAGATAAAAAAATAGTTGAGATCTGATTATCTGTGATGAAATTAAAATGGACAATCGAAAACGAAAGTTTAAAATAGTCTATTTTAAAGTTCTTTTTTGTATTTCAGAATCATGATCGTGGTCGAGATTATCTACCTGTGAATTTATCTAAAATCCATCTCTATGATAGATTTCCTGAAGGAGATCACATTTGCAATGGCTGGCACATTTAAACCCCATCCGACATCAAATTTGTCAATCACTCCAACCGGAACACCGGAGTGCATCTTTCATGATTCACAAGTAGTCTACAGATGATTCAATCATGTACACTGAATTCTATGGGAAGAGCAACAGCTTCCAGCCTCTTGATTATGAAGTCAGATAAAAGCAGGGGCCATTGCAAATGGATTTACTCTATAGATAATATGATTCCTTGATTCACCAACTTGAAGGACTGGTATAGAATCTTTTCTAACGAGACTTTTTTTTTTAGAAAGTTAACCTTTAATTATACGGATAAAAGGATATAAAGCGTAAAGAAGAGAGGCTAACGACAAAGCGGAAAGCTCAAAGTACAAAAGCCCTTCTGAAAAAGGCAGGTGAGAGAAGAAGAATCAAAAAAGCCGTCCTTTTAAGAGTTATTTGAAGCATTTGAATGATCCAAGAGAATCAAGGAGACTTTTGAAATTGATTAAATAACTGATAGGGAAATATCCAACCGTGGGAGGGAACTATGGGACATACATTAACTAGAAGAATATCATATACAGTAATAGCACTGGAAAAAGAGCCATAAGAGCAAAAAATTATGCCTAATTGCCAAAGAAACCAATTTCCTGGTGGGACTAGAATGCCATGTCGGGGTAAGTGTACTTGATTAAGATAAGATGTTTTGAAAAGAATTCAAATCAAGAAATAATTTTAGATGCACATTTGAAATGAGTAAAAGTTAAACAAATGTACCACATATACCCAAAAAGAAAAATGTACCACATATACCTAGTTGCAATTTGGATCAATGTTGAAGCAAAGTAAGTACAAAATGAACCACATATATTCGCATCTAATTATCTGAAGCATTTGAATGATCAATAAACATCACTAGAAAACCTCTGTTTGCATGCCAAATAAATGCATTGAACATTTTGGTATCTATTAATTCCTTGAAACACTTAGCATTCCAAGACCAGATGGTTCAACACAAATTTCAAGTTTAAATGGTAAGTGGTTGTGTGGGAATCTGGAATAACAGGTAGGATATTTGATAAACATGGTAAATAATTTTACAGCTAGATATGCATAGTTAGCCCGTGTCATTTAGCAACAGATGAATACCTGTAATATAGCCCACCCTGTTGGCATGAAAGCCAAAATGCTGGCAAAAAGATCCCCAACTGTGAGGTTAAGGAAGGCGAACAGAACCCCAAGGGTTCCTACTGAGCCAATAAATAGAAACAGCTTAAGGAGCCTGAACATCAGCTGGAAATCTGCACTGAACTTCTTCCTTCCCATTGATACCACCTGTAGGAAAGGAATTGTTTAATATAGTGATTGCTTTACTGATCTATTTAATATAGAAAATTTGTTTCACAAACTACAAAAATCTATAAAATCTGTGAAACATAAGTAACAAATAACGTTAAAATCAGCACTATCACAAGTAGATACCAACCTTTAAGATCAACATCACAGCAAGAATAACGAGCCAAGACAGACCATACACCTATAAGAAGGGAAAGTTATAAAGAAATTAGATTATACAGGATGATCACTATAATAGCCACACAAAAAGGATGTTGCAATCTTCTTAACCAACAGTATCACGCATTTTGAATAAAATAGACCTGATTGCTAAGTGAAATAGATTGCAGTGAGAAAAGCTGCTCTGTTACTGTGGAAAACGCATAAATAGAGTAATAAATGTCCAGACTAGAGAACAATCCGCTTCTTTTCCCACCTTTGAATTCATTTAGTAGCAATCCATTTGAAAATGAATAGTCCTTAGGAAAAAGACACAAAAATGACCTCTTGTATTTTGATAACATTCTGGTATTTCCATGACTTCATCAAAAGTTTGCTAAATCTTTCTACTAACACAAGCGAACCAATAAACTATCACAAGAAAAAAAAAAAACGCAACATAATAGCCTAAAAAGAAGTGCACAGTGAGGAAATAGCTCTCTCTCTCTCTCTCTCTCTCTCTCTCTCCTCAAACATACACACACACAAACATATACACACACACACGCATGCACACACACATGCACACGCACGAATGTGCACACACACCCACAGATCTAAATCAGATAAACACAAGCGACAGGTTCCTACCACTATGCTGGTGTTTCCATTGGAAACATGGAGGTGGTACACAATGCCATACTGGTAGAGGAAGAAGCGAAACGAAAGGACTATCTCCCAAAGTCGCCCCATAAACCCTGTGTATTGCAGATGCTCTTGCTCCTCATCCCACCAAGACTCCCAACTCTTGGTTGCTGGCACACCAATTCCCCCTCTGCTACTAATCCACTTGGTCCAATCATCCCAATCCTCCACAATCTTTTGCCACTCAAATCCTGATGGGTTGAACGAAAATGGAGCAAAAAGCCATGAAACCACCAGAAACCACATCGACACAGTGAGAAGCACATAAGAAGAGAAGTCAGTGGCCACTGATCCATAGATCATGTACACAAGAAGCAGGACCATAAGCTCAAGTCCTTTAACAAAGTGACTTCTCGAATAGAGCCTGTAGTTCTCAGTGAACTTCTCATGGCGCACCACGAAACCACGGCCAGTTGCCCTATACTTGGCCCCTCCATGAAGCACTGTGCGACCAAAATAGTGCGTCTTGGTGCCTAGAGAGAAGGTGAAGAAGACAGCGGCAAGCTGCAATTGCATGATCACAATGTCACTTAGAGCAGTCCTGAAACCTCTCTCTAGCCCAATCTCCATCACCATGGGCAGTGACATAAGCAATCCAATTTGGACAAGGGACTGTGAGGCCAAAGCTGCCTCTAGTGGGTTGTTTCCCCTTGACTTGGCCACCTTCACAAGTGACTTCTCCAGCCCGCTCAGTGATAAGTACAATTTTCCATAGAGGAAGACATAAACAATGATGACCACCAACTGCACACCATTAAACACTAGTTGTTATCCCGTATGATGCACAAAAAAACTTAACAGAGAAAAGTGAACCCTACAGTGATACAGATGTTGATCAACTATCATAAATAAAACAAAGGAGAAAACTTGTGTATTTTGGGTGGTCACATGAAAGTTAAAGATCAGATGAGTTCAAACAATAAAAAAAATGGTTAGGTTTAATATATTGAGCGAATTTGCCATTTTTTAGAGTGTGATTTATATATAGGTGGTGTATACTTCTGATATTACATGGGATAAAAATGAGAATCGTGAGAAGGCAGCAAAAGTAGTCTGACTTAATTGTCTGCATGTAGTCCAGAAAATATAGCCTCCACTAAGAAACCATGCATACTGGTAGGTAGTGGTGTTTAGTTATACAGATAGATAGTACATGTTATCCAAAAATAGCAGGAAAGAAATTGCAGTGTTCTCATTCTTAGATGCCATAAAGAACCAGCTAGTCCATATCATTCCTGAAGCAACCTGAGGGTCCTGAACTCTCCCCAGCTGGTACATGATCATGTACAGAAAACTTTTCCTACTTACATGCATTTCTCATTCTGTAAACTAGGGGTCTCGATGCAAATGTCACATCAACTCTGAGCCCACCCATCCCAATCAATAATATAGAACAAAATCTACCAATCAACTCCATTATGTAGCAATTGTTGCATATCCTCTATGCAATTAACCTCTAAATTACGAGGATCATGTTTTTAGCGTAAGATGACTAGAGCTACATAGCAAGCTAGCAGGTAATGGTGTAACAGTGAAGAAGAGAGAAGGATAGACGGCTAACCATGGAGCTGACATAAAATCCAACAGTGGTGAAGTAACAAGATAGCATGCGAAACATATCAAAACGATGGCCCAAGCGATAAATGTCTCTACTCAGTATCTGCTCTCCATTTCCACAGGCTACCTTTGCTTCAAAGAGTGAGATTTGATTAAGACCCACATCACGTCCTTTCCCAACTTGGATGTACTCATGGTGGGTGACATTGCCCCGCCTCAGTGTGGAGTTGAAACCTACAAATTTAAGTTATAAATTTTGGTCACTGAGTGGAAATAAGGGCATTAATTTGAGGGATTATACAAATTCATGGAGCACTCAGAGAGAGATAATACTTTATTACCTGCAAAAATATCCTCACTTAGATTGATTCCCCGGGAAGCTTTGCTGATTCCACCTCTCGTAATGTGAAAGATCCTATCAAACACATCTGGATGACCATAGTGGAATCGGACCCTGGAACAACCACAAAAGAGAGCCTCACAGCATCAGTTCATTGCAACATTCAAAATACTGGAATGTGAAGGATAAAGCGGGAAGATGAAATCAAACTTTCAGATTTTGCACTCAAATGGGATAAAATTTGGGAGTAGAATGCTGATTATTAAAAGACAAAATGTTTCAAATTTCATGTGAAATTGGGCGACAGTGACCAAATTCTGGACGTAAAATTCAAACTTGAAGGAAAACTGCCGAGCCATAATGCCAAAATATAACATTTTTCTAGGTATTTGCTTGTGTTTAAGATTACACTCAAATGTTGATTCAGAAGAAACATCAATTCAGCAACATCTTAGTGTTTCCTTATTCACGATTCCACGATTAAATAACTAATATGAAGTTGTGACGAGAACTCATGACATATGGCTACTCATCCTGGAAACATCATAAAATCTAGACTAGCACAAATTTGATTAATCCTATGTCCTAAGTGAGAGAACTTACTTCAATGGGTTTGCAAGTACCCTTTGACCAATAGTGACAAAACTCGTCTCCTGGTTTGACATGAACCACGCCAAAGATGACACACTACAGGTGCAAAGCAAGAGTATCAGTTCTCATTAGCTCAATCCTCATTTTAGATTTTCATTAGGGATACTCATCAGCGCCTGATTCTTTTCAATAAACAGTATGAAATTCAAACCCACCTTCCTGTGAAAATGTGTTCCCGAACACCAAGAATTGTTGGCGAGCGAACTCCATGATCTTCATTGAACTCTTCCAAGAGATTCCGCATTTTGAAAGCCTCTTCCAAGTAATTATCCTAGGAATATGAATGAAAATTATATCGATAAAGCTCATTCTAAGGGCAAATGAACTCTGCTGCACAAAACCTCTCTATGCTTCTAAGTCTTCAGTATGCACCTGGTTCATGTCAATAGTCTGAAGAGCTTCCCCACGAGTAAAAACGATTGCATGGTTTTGATTTTCTGGCTTGCCTTCCCCTATCTTTGCAGATCCTGGCAACTTTATACGGTAGATTTCCTGTTTCATTGAAAAAAGCAAACAATAATGAGTGATTGCAATAATACTGGAGGTCATTGCAATTGCTGTTAAGAATGTCAGGACAATTACCTGGTCAAGATTGTCAACAGCTTTAACCAAAACAGAATAGTAGACCTTCTGTACTTGGCCACCTTCTCTTTCCTCAACTTCATCAATATATGCCACACGAAGAGAAGGATGGCTGGACAAGACAATCAGAATTTAGGTTGCTTGACTCGTTAGACATCCCAGTCATTTAGAAAACAAAAATATCCAAAACGAAATATAAAAGTAAAATTGGATAAAACATTCAGATTATTATATAACTTCCATAGGGCTTGCACACGGAATTTAGGAGTGGAAACTATATTCAGATAACCTATGTTTCATAACATAATTTTCAAAGAAGTGACTCAAGAGTAATGTTTATCAAAGCTAAATGCATTTGTGGGATAGCTGGCTGTGGAATAGATCAAATGCCAAGGAAATATCTTGGTTTGATTTTGTGTATAAGCAAGCCATTTAAGCATTATGGACTGATAGAAAGATTCAAGTACAAGCTGGCCGCATGGAAGGCAAGGTTTATATCTATCGATGGGAGGATTACCCCAATCTAATCTACCCTCTCCCAACTTCCCATTATATTATATCATTGTTCTCTACATTCTACTTGGTCAAACCAAATAAAGAAACTCATGAAGAAATTTATTCTCCTTGGGGGAGGGGGTGGGCGGTTCAACTGTGAACCAAAGGTTCCGTTTAGCTAGATGGGAAAAGAGTGTGTGCCCAAGACCAAAAGGAGAACTTGAGTGATAGAAAATCTTGGCGTGGAGAGAAAAAGTGAGAGACCAAGGGCGAGAGAAGTGCATGAAAACCCCCCTTAGATTCTAACAAGGCAGGGGGTGCCTCTTACATTAATATATACAAGTATGCCATTGGCTGTAACAAATATGACATCATGATACAAAACACAATATCTTTCAGAGCATATTCGTAACAAGCCTCCTCAAATTGTATATCGTGTTCAAACATGTACATTTTGTCTTTTAGAAAATCAAGTGGTCCACTTGTGAGTCCTTTGGTGAAGATATCCGCAGCTTCTCTTGGTCCCAATATTTTTATTTGAATTGCCTCTTCTTCCATCATATCATTTATAAAATGATAATCGATGTCAATGCATTTAGTGCGACCATGAAAAATAGGATTAGCTCCAATAGCTTGTGCACTTTGTTTATCACAATAAATTGTTGAGCAATGCACCTTATATCCAAGTGATATAATCAGGTTCTGAATCCAAGAAATCTTTGCTATAGCACTAGCCAATGGTTTGTATTCAGCTTATGTGTTCGATCTTGCCACTAATCGAGCTTTAAATCGCTTGATACTTTCATCTGACTTGTATTTTATTTTGTACACCCATTTGCTGCCCACAACATCTTTCCCAACTGGATTGCACATCATCATTTGATCACAGGTGGCATTTCTTGAGATAAGAACACATTTAAGTCTAGGGCTGTAACAACGATAGCCTATAAAACCATCTTCCGGTCTAACAAAAATGCAAGTTTTGGAGAAAGTTTCTTGCTTTGACTCCGGTCTATATGAACAAAGATGGACATCCAAAAGATCAAAGAAATGAATAATCTGCATGCTTGCCATAACACATATCACAAGGAGTTCGGCTATTAAAATGTTATTGGGCAATCGATTTATGACATAAATGGTCGTGTGAAAATCAATTGCCCACTAATATGGTGGCACTTTCGTTCTGCTGCTCCATTTTGCTTTAGAGTATATAGACAAGAAATTTGTTGCTCAATCTGTTACTAAATAGTTCTTAAATGCATGAGATGAGTACTCAACCCCCCCCCCCCCACAACAAATTAAGATGTTTGTGTGGCTGGTGCTTCTGGACATCGTGTCAACTGTAGACCATTTCATTAGTTGTGGATGCCATTACCAAATATATGACTAATGTATAACACTAGCGCTATAAAAAGGAAAGCCACCTATTCTTGCACTGCCCTCTTGCTAGTCAGATTTGGTCTTCTAGACATTTGACAAAGGATGGGCACAACCCAATTCCATAGACTCTCTGTTCAGGCAGTGGTTTCCCCCACCACTGCCAAAAATGGGTTTGTTGCTATTCAGCCTGACATTATTGGTGACTATTTCAACAATCTGGCTAAATAATAGGTGTTGGTTTAGGGACAAAATACAGGAGTTGCATTGAACAAGGAGCTACTCAACACCACGGTTACCTTGTGAGCTCATTCAAGAGAAGCATTTTGAGGGTTCTCAGTTGCAGATTTTGAGTACCACAAGAACAATATTGTGAGATCAAAGGCAGCACTAAATAGTAGGCCAATAAGACGGAACCCAACCTCAGAAGTTGTGAAGTAGAATCCCAATGGTATCTCTAGTGGCAACCTGGGCTTATTGGAAATAAAAAGATTAAGCTTTATTGTATTCGATGGACAGAACTGTCATTTCTCTTTTGTTTAGTCCTTATTTATCTTATTCTCTAAACAAGGACTATATTGTCCATAAATTGTAATTAGGGTTATTACTTAATGTTATAAGAGGGGTAGAGGTCACTTGTGACCTCTAAGCCACTTACTTTCTCTCTCAATCTCTTTATCTCTCACACGTGTCTCTCCCTCTCCCTTCTTCCTCTTCATCATCATCATCGTTATTTTTTTTGTTCTCTTTCTCTCTAGATCCTACCAAATTGTTTTCTTCTCTACTTAATCTCAACTTGGTATCAAAGCCAAACGATCAGTAATGATGGAATTGTAGCAGGGAATCAATCTTCAAAAAGGTGCACGGAACTGGGTTTAGGGATGATGTCATCCTTTGGGTTAGATGGCATCATCATGCCCTAAAACCAAAACTTTTTTTTCCGACAATATCTATGCCAATGGAGGTAATTTTTTTTTTATGAGTCCAGATGCCGATTAAGTAATTATTCGAAAACCTAGTTGTTGGATGGATTAGGGTTTGTGCCCAAATAAAGAAGTACTGTTAGTGTTGTTTTTTTATGTTTTTTTGGAAAAAAAAAAGGAGTATGATCAAATCTGAGGGTGTAACCAAATATGTAAAACCTCTTATTTGAAGAGATCAAAGGGTGTAACTTGATCTCAATTGCTGATTAAGATCTAAGGGTGTAACTGGATCTTAACTACAATAGACAATGTCTCTACAAGCATCAAATATAGAGTCATCGAGAGCCCAAATCACCACAGTCAAATTTGATAGAACCAACTATTTAGAATAGGCCAGGTTGGTTAGATTATTTTTGGGTGGAGAGAAAAACCTGGGATATACATTGACGGCCGTGTAGAAAAGCCCATAGTTATGTGGATAAACTTAAGGGAACCATGTGGATAAAGTGATGATATCGCTCCGGAACCTCGATCCCATGGTTCCTGCAAGGGATCTTGTAGGGACCTCGTTTTTTCGAATTTGGGATCTCTCTCTCAGAAACGGGAGACCATGTTTAATCCATCAGTTGAATCCAGTTCCATTTCGAAATAGATCCCCGCTCCCATCACCCATGGTCCAAGGTTTTGGTACATTAAAATCTTGGGTTCTATGTTTGTGAAATCTACTTTCATTAACAGATGATACCAAGTTAGAGATTGCCAATGTCCGAAGTTCCCATTATTTAGAAATTATAAGATCCATGATGTTAAACTCCAATCCTTTTTTTGCATAGCACGAAGTTCCATTATTTTAGAGTCTTAACTTGAACTAGGCATAGTCGAGAGTAGCCCATTGTTTTATTAAGTCCTATAGTGTAAGCCATCCCTCGTAATTGTGAGAAAATATATTTTATTTGAAATCTTACATTTATGATGTTCTATTGTTTTAGAGTCTTAAATCTTATTGCAGTTGAAAGATGAGAATATATGCTTTCATTTCAAGATTTAAAAAGCTTCTTTTACATCAATCAGAGAGAGAGAGTAGTTCATCTTGTCCTCTTGCCCCTTCGGAGAGCCAGCCTTTGAGAAACAATGGAAGCAGAGGAGACTACATTTGAAGAAGATGACTCTTGAATGGTAGGATTCTGGGTTGCTGAGGACTCAGCGGGAATGGTGTATGCCAAACTTGTGTCATGGCCTGAAGATGTAGTGATCATTAGAAAGACCGACTTATAGAGCAACATAAATAATCCGTTGCTATTCACGCAAAAACAAATAAATCTATTGTTAAGGGCAGGGGGCACTTGATAAGGGATCCCTGGTAAATGGCACTTGCAAACCTCAAGGCCAATCAGCTGAGGACCTTGATTTTTGTACTTTATGAATCTCGATATAAGAACAGGAGGAACCTCGTTATATGACATACTTAAATCTCGATTCCTTAACCAGGGGAACTTGTACTAGCTTACTTACAACCTCATTTTTTTGTATAGAGGAGCTTAGATTCCTGCTAGTCAAACTCATTGACATCAGATCTTACTTCCATAAACTTAAGGATATCGCTCCTTGTCTTGTTCATTGTACGGATATCAATCCTAACCCTAGGGAGCTTCCACTATAGGTCGGTTCGGCGAATCCCGAACCAATCCCTCTCTTGCCTCCAACAGCTATGGAAAAACTGACCTGAAGGATGCTTAATATGCAGACTGGGAGCTGAAAATATGGCTATTATGAATTGGACATTATTTTATATGTAACCTAATATGAGTCGATCTTTAATAAACTACAATACCTCAAGAAATTATGGGAGGCATCTCTGACTTATATTCTCAAAAGAAAACTATTGCAAGGGTTTATGAATTGGAGCAGCAAATCAGTGATTTTAAACAAGGTGACTTGTCACTCGGAGACTATTATGCTCATCTCCATGGTCTTTGAGATGAATTAAGCCAACATCAGCCGACACAACATTCTTCTTGTGCAAAGGAACAAAGAGAGAGACTAGAACAAAAGAAGGTTACTCAACGCAAGATAACAGTAGTGTCTATCGGTGAAACTGAAAGATCTCCCCTATTCACAAGTTTTAGTGATAATCAAGGTGGAGGACATTTTGGGAGCTGTGGTGGAGGCTGAGGCGATTGACGTAGCCGTGGAAACCCCACATCTGATGAGAAGGACAAATTAAAGTGCACCCACTATAGGAAGACTCGACACACAAGGAAAACATGTTGGGATCTGGTTGGACGCCCAAGGCAAAACTTTCTAAGGGAAAATTCAGCAACAATCAGTGAAAGTACTGCTCCAGTTACTCAAGGGCAACAACATACCATCTCCTTGGAACCTCAACAAGAATTGGGGACTATTCCTAAAAGAGAGCTCTTGGATCTCAAGCAACAGGCTTCCATTCGAGACCCTTTTTCTTCTTCATCATCATCATCATTATTTTCTTTTGCTCTCTCTAGATCCTACGAAATTATTTTCTTCTCGTCTTTAATTTCAACTCAGTTGTGGGAGGCCTCATGAGGGATTGCCAAGGGCAAATACTAAAAAATAATCACCAAGAGTGAATATTGAAGACTTAGGTAGATTGCATAATCATGATTCTAGTGAAGCTGGGTCATGCGCACTTTTGATTGGCTGTAGAAATCTTGATTTGAGATAGAAATCACCAATCATAGAAGTCGATTCCAGCAAGGTTATAAAGTGGGCAGATCATGGGGAAGTATATCCTTGGTATTTCTTACATGTTCGAGGATATTTGGCACCAAATAAATAAGCTGCAAGTGTACCTAGAGAATGAGTGGCAAGAACCAAACAAGAGGCAGATTCTTTAGCTAGGGAAGGGTTTTCCTTAGCAAAGTTAATGGTGGCTGAGTTTGGTAAATACCCTGTGAGTCTCCTGTACATAAGCTCATTTTTCTGAGGACTATCTACACAGACTCAATTTTTTATATGCAAAATTCGTATTTTGTCAATCCTTTTATACGAACAGTTATGAGATTCAGTCAACAATCAAAAGAATAAGTAGGGTGCCAAAGAAAATCTACAAGATAAGGCTATCTCCAAGTGATTTTGATGCAAAAGGACGATGAGAAGCTAAATCCACCTTTCTTTTGGTATTGGAACAAGCAAAATTCAGCAACACAACGAGAAAGAATATGGTTGTAACTCAAGTTAAAAGGAGATCTCCCTCAGTAAGAACTCACATTAACAAGCCAAAGGCCCCCCGTAATGCGACGTCCAACCTTTTTCTATATATACAAGCATACGAACTAAATAAAGAGAAGTCCAAAGGCAACTTCCATCTCCTTTTAACTCATATATTCTCTCCCAGATTCCTATATTTCTGGACAGCACCTCACCGCCTCTCTATCCCCCTCTCTCTCTCTCACAATGTCTCTATGCTCTCTCCCTCATGGCAATCTCTCACTTCCAAATTTTTAGGTCTTCTCTCTGCATTCCCACAAACTTAGGGATCTATATGACTCTCCCACTTGAACAAGAAACTAGGCTAACAAAATCAAGAAAGATCTAAAGTAAATCCAAAAGAACGGGGCACATTGCTAAACGACTATCCCTTACCATGATAATAAATAAGAAACCCTATTTAATCCCCACACTATAAATAGCTCAAAATTAAAGCTAACAATAAAAATAATAAATAAATAAGTTCAAACCCCTCCTAAAATTCTCCACCAAAAAAAAGAAACCAAGTAAAAATTCTAACCGGCCCACATCTTGAACATCATGGATGCGATGTGAAACGTCTTCCCGAACAACAAAAAAACAAACAAGGGAAGCCAAACAAGACTCCTACAAGCAAATAGAAGCAAGGTCGCAGTCCTCAAACAACAATGTGAATATGATGCATAAAATACCAATAATTGTGGATAATGGAAAGGTATAACATACTTAACCATCAAATTCAGTATATCTGTAGCACGGCGATCTCCAGATTGCTTTTGGTTGCCATAATTTTGGCAGGTGGCAACATACGTAAACTTCATATCAGCCAGAGCCTCTAGCTGAGCAGATAGTGATCTTTGGCTCTTCTTTTCTTCCTCTGAAGGATCCGTAACTGCCTTGTAGCCTTCTAAGATCTCTGTAATGAAAAATGAATTAAAAAAGTTCAATAGATTTTTCAAAAAAGTAAAACAAAATTTGCAACATCATGTGGGATGCAGGTAATGCGTCATTACCACTTTCAGAAGCCATGTCAAGGAAAGCCTGAAGCTTCAAAGCCCTTCTATAGTACATCATTCCACGAACTGCATTAATAAGAGAAGTCACAAGAATTAGAGAACGTAATATCCAAATATATCCACTCACAAAAAGAAAGGTATCAGATACCAGTTCTGCTAAGTGTCTGTCCTCGTTGAGAGGCCCAATGACGAAGATGCAAGACATTCTCTTCATTACTCCACACCTCACTCTCTCGTTTGCAGTTAAGCCGCTCCATGAAATTGTTCCACTCATCTGAAGATTCCCACCACATTTGAAGCAGTCATATCCATGACAAAATCCATAAAGCAGGAATATCTAAAAATAATAAATCAATAGATATTTATCAAAGGAAACATCAGAAAAGAACCTGGGAAAATCTTTTGCAGGTAGAAAATGATTGATACACCATCTTCATTTTCTAGCTCAAGGTCAGTTTTAGAATAAACCGTCTCCTCACTGTAGTATGGAGTCATGACACTGTCAAAGTCAAGCAATTTGATTAGGATAGTAATTTCTCTCAAGGAAGCAAAAATCATCAAGTACTAAAATGAATATAAATGCCAGTAATTCTGCACATTGCAGTGTTTTCTGTTTCTCGTTGAACATTAAATTTATAAGAAACACAGATCAATAAATGTATAACAAGAAAAGCTCCTGGTACCAAGAGCACAGTTTTCTCCAAAAAGAACTATGCATGAATACTTACACAACCACCGTGAAAAGAACATTCATGAGTAGCAAACCATAAGTAGCTCGAGTTGTAGGTTGACTGTCATGTGATTAATGTAGGGCTTATTATCTATCCCATAATCCAAAACAGAACTTCACTTGTAGAACAGCAAAAGGCAAAATGAAACTCTTAAATCTGGCAAAAAAAAAGACCAAATGACAATAGCTTTTGCCAAGTTCAAAACACCATGGTTTTTAAACTACTTACCTTTACACAAAACAAACTAGTCCCATGACCTTTGCGTTTTACTATATACACCAATATAGACCAATGGAATGCAATTGCTTCCCTGAAATTTATCAAATTAATCACCCAAGTCCATCGATCCAGAAGAAGAGTCTCACAACTTACAAACTCATTCAATAATGTGGATGTCAATCACTTCCATTGCAGTGCCCATACCTAACGAATAAGCATAATTCTTCAGTGTGTTGAGGGCAACATTTTCTTCCATTATTTAAGTCTCATGCAAACCTTTTCTTAAACTGACAGCGGGTAATGATGATAATATATTATCAACTTCCAAAACCTCAGTTTTCTCAATAGCAGGTCAACATCCTTAATACAGCTAAAAACCTCAGATTGCATTTCAAGACTCATTTCCAAGCTTTTGAAAAGAAAACATCTCCTAAAGTTGACAGGAATATTAACATGCATGGATTTGCCAACAGCACTAGCACGATAGAAATAAGCTTTTTCTGGAAATTTATTAGTGAAATTCTGTGTGCACTATGGTTCTCAAAGCATGCACTTCCTAGTAGCACCAGTACAAAGGAAGAGTGACTTTCCATGTGTCTTATTGTTAGTGAATCGCTAATGACAATCCATAAATTGAATCACTGTTTCTAATTCATCTACAGGGAATAGTTAAACTACCAACTCTATCTCAACAATAGTTCTCAGTTGTTAACTGTGAAATAAGCAAGAATTGGCAGGTAGAACCATTCAAAACGAGAACTATTGAACCTATGTCAACGAAAATTCTAATTATCGATCAATATTTTTACATAAACCATATTTAAAAAAATAGAGTATCCGACCTGAATGAAAGCATTTTACGGACTCGAGGAGCACGTGGCATGTCCATAAATAAAGAATTTGCAAAGAATGCAATCCTCCTTCGAGCTTCAAGATTAGTAGGAACCTCTACAGCAGACTCCTTCACTGTTAGAAGCAGGTAAAGGCGTTTGATCTGCAACAAAGCAGGCATGACGCCATTATGAGAATACAACTCAATGGGACCCAATTAAGCAACAGTTGCCTTGCACTTGACACTGGCAATCATCTCATCACATCATCAAGAATAAAGGATATCGGTACACCAAGGGAAGAAAAAACAAACACATAAGCACTGTTATAAATATGATTCCAGTAATAGGTAAGAGCAATTTAGTCTTCACATGAAAAAATTACATACCTGTTCTTCCCATTGTGCAGTAACAACTGGAGGGAATAGAACAGCAGGCTTTGGATCTGTACCGGCAAAAAGCTGTCTACCAGTTTGTGATGTAACTATGTCATATTTTCCAGGAACTGAATCTTTGGTACCGTGACCAAGTTCCACCAATTCACTAATAATTCAAATATATGAAAATTATATTCAGCCTTACATAATCATAAGAATAGCATAGCTGGCACGTTAATACAACTAGTCATTTTGGATTCAAGGTCACAGTATACCAACCGGATCTCATTCACCATCATATCACGGGTAACGACTTCTAACATGTCTTGAAGCAATAACACAACCATGTCTCTCTTAGAGGGATCACCATCTTTCTGGAAAACAAAAGGGAAAACGATTAAGAGCCTTGGTTGATTAACACAAAACAGTCATCCAAAGCAGAAGTACTACTGTACTGTAAATGACTTACCAAGATTTCTACAAGCTCCACAAATTTCTTACAAAGGGCAGGCAGTGGACCCATTCTAAAATTTGCTAGAAATATGTTCTTTGAGATATTAACCTCAATTTCTTTAATAATAATTCCAATTATCCTGTAATATTATAAAAATCAGTCAACATCAGTAAGATTGTTTCCAAACCACTGCCACAAATAACTGCATACAGCCAGGACTGGGAAGCTACTCTAAATCAGTTTTTAGTCAAACCATTACAATGTATATGTCCCTTGAAATTCAATAAGCCGGAAGCAATAGCAGAAGACCCATAGATTGAAATATAAATAGACAGCCAGAATATCGGAGATGCAGTTGAAGTACACAACCAATAACAGAAAAAACTTCCAAAGATGATAGAATTATCTCTATTGTAAACTAAATTAATGGAAAAAAAAAAGATGGAGACATCCTTGTAGATGAATATACACGTCAAACAATTGTATGTCATGCATGATCTTTTTTGTGCATACTTTATACAATCATGACCGAACCCATATTTGCAAATTCTTCTTAATATACTGATAAATCTTCATTTCTATGTTGAAGATTGCCAATGGTGTTGTAGAACGGAGAAGTCTGCAAAATCATTCAAAAATTCTAGGAACATGTAACCACTCATGACTCATATGACTCTAATACCATGTCAATTGAACAAAACAATGGGAAAAATTACTGTTATTAAGTAAAAGAAATGGGATTGCAACTTCAAGTCATGTTGCCATAAATTTACCAAATTGACCTACCCTACATGTGTCAGTATATAGAGTTACCAGATGATGTACAATATTGTACATCAATAAATCACCATAAAAGATTAATTCATTTTTCCCTTTCGGCATATTGAACAGTAATTGATAGTTAAATGAGCATTATCAAAGTAGAAATAGATCCTTCAGGGTTAATATAATAAGCATATATTTAATATCTTCAAATGTCCATCACAGCAGACCACAATAGCATGGAGTAACCAACTTAATGCAAAGCAAAGAGCGCAACAAGCATGCAACTTTATGGTTAATTATCCAATTATTTTGGATAATTGCTGTGAAGCTATGAAAATTTTCTTGACTCAGTATTCATTTAAGATCAAAGTGATCAATGAACATGAGTAATTACAGAAAAAGAAGAATATGTCCTTAGGAACCGAAAGGGTCAATTCATACCTTTTCTCATTGTCTCCAACCACCAAAATGTTAAGGACGTGTTTAAATGATTCATAGCATTCAAGCACAGCACACTTCATATATTCATCAGCACAGATGCGCTTCCAAAGATCAGAATCTTTGGACCGAAATTGGGCTGCCATATCCAGGGCTATAGGTATCTGTAAGGGTCAAGAAACACTCACATGATTCTGCAATGAAAATTAAGGAAAATATACCTGTACGCCCTATTTTGATGTGTACCATTTCCCTACAGACCCAGGGTTTTCAAAACTTTACGGCAGCATAGGTTTCCTAAAATATTTCTACCCCCTCGACCCAATTTACCCTTTTTGACTGCTCATTTTTTGGCCAAACAAAAACTAGAAAGACACCTGTATCTGTCTACTAAACCTCTATCTATGCATCTTTATTTCTCTCTCTATGTAGGAGAGAGAGAGATGTTATAGAGAGAGAGAGCAATAAAGACGTTGTATAGAGAGAGCGAGGTTTAGTAGACAGATAGAGGTGCCTTTTTAGTTTTTGCTTGGGCCAAAAAATGAGCAGTCAAAAAGGGAAAATTGGGTCCAGGGGGTCAGAAGATGTATCATTTAGAAAACCTATGCAGCCAGAAATTTTTCAAACCCTGGGTCTATGAGTAAATGGTACACCAAATCAAGGTACACAGAGATGCTTTCCCCAAAAGAAAAATATAACTAACCAACATTGACAAAAAGTGAACGTCCAAACCTTGCTAGCCAACAGGAAAGGTGGCCACTGAATGAGTTTCAAACTTGGGTCACACGAATATGGAACCAACATGAGATCCATTTCCCTAGAATGAGAAAGAAACCATTCAATTGACAATGTACATGTCAAAATCAAATAACCCAACAAGGATTGAAAAACAATACATTTTGTGAGAGGAAAAACCTGTCACTTATAATGTCTTCTTCGCGGAAACTACATATTACTTCATTCCATAACTGAGCAAATCTTGCAGCCTCAATTCTCCTGCCCGGAGAGACCTGAAAAGTGATTTTGAGAATGATAAGATAAACAGAGTGGTGAGCACTGTACAATTGAACGCCAATAGTTTTCATTTTTGTAAGATTCAACCTCCACAAAGCGTTTCGAGAAAGAAAATCCCCGATTCCTAATCTTTTCAGAAGGAACCAAATATGAATTAAATGCACCCGGTAAAGAATGGAATCTTGACCGCAGCATGCCCAAGGTGCGTATCTGCAAAAAGCAATAAGTTCATTACATATTGAAAACTCTAGGAAGCTCTGAAATTCTTATGAAGCTTTTATCCAACTCAATAAACTTGCACAACATTCTGCGGCGAACATTAGAGATACAAAACAAATATGACAATGTAATATTAAACCCAAGGAAAATAATATTGCTAAACTTTACCATGCATTGAATCACATTGTTTTTGTGTTTTATTATCCTTTTAAAAGAAGATGAAAGAGATGGCAAGAAACAACAAATCATTCCTTTTCCAGGATTTATATTAATGATTCTGGGGATACATCCCTTTGGGGCATCAACTAATGCCTCGTTAATTACATCTCAAAGAGAACACCTCTGATTCCAACGAAACAAATTTACAAGGAAAAGGCAAAAAACAATGCAACAAATGACTTGTCATTTCTCTCTTCGGTTCTCCCCTTTTTGGATGATCGCTTTCTATCCAATGCATGAAGTTCGAAATATCAAGATGGTGGCTTCTCATATTTATTAGCAGTATTAAAAATGTGCTGAGTTCACTCAGGCTTGGCACCCTACTGAGCCCGAAGAGTCCCCTCCTCAGATGGAATGAGGTTGGGGGTGGATGGTTGTACAGTATACTTACTCAGCTGAGTCACTGTAGTAACTCGGGCAAGTTGTAAACTCCGCAAGTTTCTAATAAATATGCCGAGTCTGCCGAGATTCACCTAGTCTGATCAATTTTTCTGTTTAAAAGGGAGGTGGAACTAAACCCCCCTTTTTGCTCATTTCTCTTCCACCAAGCTTCAGATTGAGCTCAAATTTGTGTGTAAGATCATTTTTGCATGATCTAGTTATTGAATAGATTAGACTTGGAAAAACCAAGTCAAATTTCTTAATTTGAGCGAATGAAATTGTCAAGATAGGCTTTGGCCCAAAGTCCTCAAACTTGTGATTTCTTTGCAACCCTAGCTCAATCTTGGTTGAAATTTGCTATTGATTCCTATTCTTTAGTTATTTATCGAATCATAGCTTACTTCACACAAAATCACTTCAAATCTCAGATTTGTGAGATTTTGAAACTTGCAGCACTATTTACCCAAAAGTTTTTATCATTTTTTGAAATTGAAACACTATGTAAGCCATTAACATCAATTATTTATTATTTTCCATTTTGCTTATATGCTTTCTATTTTTTTTCCTATTTTATCCTTTTATTAGGCAATTTTTTGGGCAACTCACCCAGCAGAGAAATAACACAGCGAGCCCACTCGAGACTCGTCAAGCTGACACACTCAGGACCCAAGGCAAGTTCTGAAGCGAGTCTGAGTTTGCTAACGCTACTATGTAACTCAATTTTTACCACTAAGTAGCCACCAGATAACCCTATTCCCTTTATTCTATCCTCTGCTTATGGAATGTCCTGAGGTAGTTATGGAACCACCAGTGTTCGAAAATTTGACCGCCCAATCGCCTAGGCGGAAAATTTTTCCAAACGCCTAGGCGCAATTTGGGTGGGTGCATAAGGCGTTTTGCTTCTGGGCGCCCGCCTAGGTGCTATACTCTGGGAGGCCGCCTAGGTGCTATTCTCTGCAGCCGCCTAGGGGCCGCCCCGTGACAACTTTCAGGTGACAGAAAAAAGCCCTCAGGTGAGGGTAAATACGCAATATTTTCCCCTAAAAAGGGGGGGGGAGAGGGTTTTAGGGGGTATTCTAAACCCCCAATACACAATCCATGGCATTTAGAGTGACAAAAACACCTCAAAAACCACTATTTTGTGATTTATCAAAAGATCGATAAATTTTCTATTTTTCTGATTTCTTCCCAAAACAAAGACAAAAGTTCATGGGCGGATTTGGAGCTTCTAATAGTTGATTTTGAGAACTTTTGACGACCCAATAAACGAGGTTTGCGTCGACTCCGATTTGATTTTGATATGTTTTAAGTATTATCATATCTAAAAGAGGGTTTTGATTTTATTTTGCTGCAACACATTCGATTATGAATCATGTGTTTTTTTTATTTTTTTTTCTTTTATGATATATTTACATGTTTATAATTAAAAGATTTCTTTTTTGGTGATTTATTGATTTTTTTCTCACTTGGACAATGAAATTGAGCATTTATCGTATTCCTTTATAAATAATTTATTCCTTTTTTATCCTATGTGTCTTATTTTGATATTCTATTTTTTTTGTTTTAGTTTATTTAATAAATAATTGATTATGTGATATCTTAATGGGTTAAGTCTTATGTGAAAGTGAAACTAAAGTCTTAATTATTCTTAAAATGTCTTATATATTTAGTTATTCATTTAAGTCTTATTGTAAACTCCCTAAGGCTATAAACCAGCCCTAAGAACTCCCCTATTTTTTATGTTTGGGGTGGGGGGTTGATTTTGGTCAAGGCTTCCTGTCTCTGGGCATCCGCCTAACCACCTAGGTGGCCAGGCACCCAAACCGCCTAAGCATCCGAATCCGTGTTTTTGAACTTGGGAACCAACAAAGATGTAAGAGGGATCATGTGGTGCTTCCTTCTTCTTTTAGAGCTTTATGCTCCTATATATAAGTAAGCGGATGAGTTTGATAGGGCGTGGATGGGTTTGAATTTGTTTGGATTTTGATGCGTAGTGGTCTCACCATTGACTTAGGACCATCCCATTATAGTTCGGGATGTCCATGGTTCCCTCGTGTTGTATAGCAAGCTCAGAGCATAGAATTTCTCCATTATGTTTTGCTATTAAGCGATTTCTGGCCCTTGTACACTAGTACTCTGCAGCCTCGGCTACTATTAAGTATTTAAGATATCCACCAGGGTATAAACTGTCATGGAACCTCTATCACACTCTGGTTTTGATAATGCATCCTAAACATTTATACATATTATCAAGGCCTTAGGCCCATGCTACTATTCCACCATTGAACATTAAGGCGTTTCAAGTGGGAGGTCACATAACCATTTCACCATTCAACTCTATGAAGGTCAGGCCATGGAATCCATTCATGTTCTACCATTGCCCTCTGACTCATGAGTTATTGAGTTCGTTCACATTTATATCTCTATTAAGCGCTTTAGATGATCCAGGGACAGATCATGCACTTACACTGCCTTTGAGTACTTAGTTGAGTCATGGATCTGCACATAGGTACCAATGGAACACTTTAGACGATTTTAACGTAGGTTTGATTATCTGCACCACCATTAAACACTTAGTCAATTCTCCTACAAACCATCCACATATGATGCCATTGAGCACTCAGGTAGTCGGAGTAGTAGCCCATCTACTTATACCAGCATTAACTACTCGAACACTTAGGGTCAAAACCCTTTCATCCATTGTCCTATTATGTACTTCGAAAACATTTTTTGTCACAAAATCCATACATACACATCCATATGTATAGAACTTAATCAAAATAGTGGTAAATATGATATTAAAAGGGATGAAAGAATTTTGATGCATCTCACAGCCCAGCACTCAGCACGTTATTTGACGCAATATAAAATTACCGGCAACTAACACCGGCAAAAATAACCGCGTTTTAGAGAGGGGGATAAAAACCGAGAACGAAATCGCAAGTGGAAGGAACAAATCTGATGATCCGAGTATTCCGCTATGGGCCCACAAACACAAGAAAAAAAGAAAAACACCCTCAAGATGGGTCTCTCTCTATGCCAAACTGCACTTTTCTTTATTTCATAAAAAATCACCTTACAAAGAGCCATCCTTTGGCCTTTTATTCCCTCTCTAACAACCTCTAATCTTACCTTACCTTTTTCTTTTTGATAAGTCTAACTCCAACCTACATGCTTACCCAAAAATAAGACCCTTTCCATTTTAATGATGACAATAATAGTAGACCATGTGAAAAAGAAACCCTTCCTAAGAAAAGGACCAAACTAATACCTACCAAAAGGACATCCATACTTATCCTTCATTTTTTTTTTTTGGCATCAAGATACTCCCTATCTCAAGTCAAAATCTTCCCTCTACAATATCATCTTCAAATGACAATATCACCAAAATAGACCCCATCCCCTAATACCAAAGTATTGTAACTATCTTTAAAACAAGACTTCAAAAGAAAAACTATAACTTTCCTAAATAAATCCCCACTAAAAATATGGGTCAACTTGCCTAAAGAAATTGGACCTTATTATCTTAAAAAAAAAACAAAACTTGCTAAAAAAATGGATTTAATCAAACTAACATAAAAATCCTATTTTTAACAATTAATCCTAAAAAAAATTTAAAAAGTCTACCCAATGTCTAAAAATAAAATTAACAAAAATAAAATTAAAATTTTCTAACAACCAGATCTTAATCTGCATCATTTTCCCCTAGTCGGAGATAACTCGTCCTAGAGTTTTAAAATGCGCTAAGATGAAATTTTCCTCGCAACCTTCTTCAACTTGAACATTATAAACACGATCCTGAGACTTGTGGGTTACTGCACTAATCAAAACATAACAATTGAGCATTGAAAATGATAAGCCCTCGAGGAACAGGTCGTTGTATATCGATTTTTCAAGCACCTAAACTGGCTGGAATGCAACTTAGGGCACACACGTACGCATCTTTTTCTTTGTCAAGTATCTCCAAAGGTTCTATCTCATTTGGGTTCAAGTCAGCATCTCGATTCTCCACCTCTCCATTGATGAGAAAATTAGATATCTTTGCTTCTTCAAGAACAACTTCTCTCTTTTCATCTTGTTCTCCATCAAATATAGAACCTTCATCAAAGATGAGATCGCTTCGGAATGATAATTCCAATTGATGATCCATACCTACTAGTTCATCAAACTCAACTAGGTCATTCTCCCGACCATGAGGCTTTTGATGCAGAGCATGTGCATCGAACGGGTTCTCGAAAACAGCTTCCGACTCACTACAGTCATCATAGTGTGTCGGGGCCTAATTTTGCGCCAAGCACAAGGTCAGCTCCACTACTTGCCTTCTCAAATTTTCAATCTCTTTATCTCAGAGATCTCGGAGGTCTCGTTCTCATTGAATGGGCTCATTCCCGATACGCAGCCATAGACCATATGCACGAGCCATGATGCTTAAAAAAAAATGCCATGATCCACAAGAATTGACTAAGCTCTAATACCACCTGATGTAGGAGAACATGAAGAAACATAGGAAAATCAGCAAGAAGCACCTTGACACAAGCAATTTTGGAGAAACCCTAAGGTTTTCTCCCACCTCGGGCTCAGCCCTTGGGCTTCTTTTACAAGACAAAGTCCCTTTTTTTTCCCTTAAAGAGGAATATGTGACTGCATCTCTAGCTCATCCACAACCTTATTTGTAAAGGAAAATTATTGTTTTGGACAATATTTGTCCATACATTAACTTTTGATTAAAAGATCCTAAGTGTAACTTGAAACTAAACTCCCTAACTTTAATTAAAACATCTAAAAAGTTCCTAACCGGCCTAGCAATTAAAAAAGATAAAAAATTCTACTCTATGTCAAAAAGTAAAATTAACAAAAATAAGATTAAAATTTTCTAGCAACTAGATCTTGATCTACATCATTATTTGTCATCACCAACTCAAGGTAATAAATTAGGGTTTGGGAAAGCAACTCTTATTTACCAAAAACAAAAAAAAAACGGTTTCAAGAAAACAATATTATTAGAAGTTTGCACTGTAGAACAAAATTAACCTCAACTATATAAAAATAACTAAACAAAAAATAGAAGAGTGGAGAAGACAAACAACATGCCTTCAGGTATTGCAAGCGTTAATGCTAGAGATAATTTCCATTATTGACTAGTCAAGCAATACTAGACAACCAAAACCTATAGCTTATCTAGAGTGGAAGGCAACCACACCCTGAAACACAGAAAACACCCAATGAACCCAACTTGCAGCATCTTGATAAAAGACTTAAATGAAAAACAACCAGCAAAATTCCAAGCTATAAATCAACCTATTAGACAGAACACGAAGGATGAAGACAGATACATACAATTGAATAGAATGTGTGGATCAATATGCTCATTAGTGATGATCCCTTGAACCCCTTCTAAACCAACATACCAAATAACCCTACCCTTGCTAACTCTAAATGATCATGGACCAAACCATTGGGATCACTATCAAGATGCAAGGCTTAGAAGGAGGTCACTAAAGGTTCACTTACCATAACTAATATGTTATTATAACACAATGTCCTTCCATATCTGAAGAGACATATTAAACGTACCCACCCCTCGACAAACTGAACCTTACTGTATCACCAGTGTTCCAAAAAAATGCTAGGCGCCCAGCACTTAGGCAGCCGCCCAGGTTAAATAAGAAAATAGTTGAATAAGTCATAAGTGAATGAGGAGAATTTGCATAGTCCATGGGCCATATTTCCATACAATGCTAGAACCATACAAGCATATACACAGGAGTTAGATAGTAGAAACTAGAAACTAGAAAAAACAAGAAAAAGAAAATATACAATCTAAGACTCAACAATCAACACCAAGCGTCAAGCATCTTCATTCTTCAATCATCATTATCATCATCATCAGAAGTAGGGTAAGCATCATCATAGATTCGAGGCCATCATCATCAGAGTCATCCCCCTCTTCAAAAAACGCTTGTCCTTTGTTTCTTCCAAATCCGCCTCGTCCACCTCTTGTTCTTCCCCCCTCTTACTCTGTGCAGAGGAGGCCCTAGGAGTCTTGTCACTTCTCCTTTTCTTTCTTTTTGTGCTTCTCTGAACTCAAATATTGTACAATTCCTCCCTGGTAGCCTAAGGAATATTTTTACATGAGGCAATGTCCATCTTAATACCGACATGGTGTTTCTTGAATCGGTAAATACCCCCATTAGTATCATTTCCACAATAATTATACTTAATATGATTTTTGCCATTTGAATTTGGGTTATGACCATACTTCCAACCCGGATCACTACTTCTAAAAGAACTTGGAAAAGATATTTCCATAGAACAAGACTCATTTTCTTCCTTTTCTTGTTCTACTAAATTCAAATATTGGCTAGTATCATCCCTAATAGCTTCAGGATCTTTTTTACAATAAGCAACATTCTCTTTAATACCGGCAAGGTCTTTCTAGAATCGATTAATACCCCCATTGGTATCTTTTTTTTTACAAAATTTACATCTTATACAATTTTTATTGTTTGGTTTCGGGTTATAACCATACTTCCAACCCGAATCACCTCTACTAGGGGAACCAAAAATATACCTATCCAAATGACAAGGATTTTGTTCCTGTTTGTATTTTACTGAACTCATTTATTGGTGAATCTCCTCTTTGATAGCTTCAGAACCATTTTTACAAGGGGTCCCTAATACCGACAATATATTTATTAAACCGGTTTATGCCCCTTTTTGTATCTTTTTCACAATAATTGTATCTTATGCAATTTTTATCTCAAGGATTTGGATGATAGCCATATTTCCAACTCGGATCACCACTTCGACTAGATCCTGAAGAAGACATCTCAAAATAATATCAGGCTTACAAGCAATCTAAAAAATAAAATTTTGCACTTACTATGATTGCTCGATCTCCAAACTTCTACCTCTTAGATGTTTTCTAGTGCTAAAATTTTCAAAACACCCTCTAATATGCCTAAAAAACTCCAAAACTAAATCTAATCTCAATGGATGATGTTTGGAACCATTTCTCATAACTTTTGATCCAATAAAATCACAAAACCTAGTTTTTTTGAGGTTTTTCTCTCTCTAAAATGGACTCTAATGGAGTTTAGGTTTCAAATGAACCAAAACCCACCATTTAAATATTTTTTATTCCAAAAACGCCCCTCAACAAGGGGCATTCAGCCCCTGGGTAGGGCGCAGGCCCTGGGTGGGCGGCCGCCTAAATGGGTGCCCTACTGCCGAAGCAGCTGCCCATGGCAGACCACCTAATTTGGCCGCCTAGACAGGGGCGAGACGCCCAGGCCCTCTCGATCGCCTAGGCGGCTGCTTAGGAGCTAGGCGGTCCACCTTTTGAAACAATGTGTATCACAACCACTTAAAGACAAAGGCTCACCTGATCAAAACCGAAGTGCTAAAGAAAGGTCTACCATATGAAATTCAAATTAATTGTCACAATTACAATAAACTTTTATGCAAGTATGAACCTTAATAGAGCAAAATGACAGACCTGGATTCGTGTAGCCAACCCCAAATAGTTGCGAAAAGGCACTAATGATGATGATGAATTACAATCACCTCGTACTGCCAAAACCATTCCCCTATACATCACAAAGTTTCTACGCTATGCTAATCATGTTACGTAGATGATTGCAGAAATTTTCACCCACTTGACATCTTATCATGGTATCTTCATAACTCAGAGAACTATACTTTCAAGCAAATAAATGCAGTTCTTACTTAAATAGCAAATGTATAGTTTTATTAAATCTATTGTGATTTTTCCCCTTTTTTTTATAGGCAAAGAAAGTGCCAATAAGAAGTGAGTTCCTTCTCATAATTAATTAATCAGCAACTGGTTTACCATTCATTTTGAGCTCGTAGTGAAGGAATGTTGAATCCAATAGAAAATTTATTTACCATAAATAATAAAAAAAAAATTCCACCACAGAAAAGTCTGAAAAAAAATAAAAATTCCCAACTGAAACAAGATGCCAACATAATGTGCAAGACAGGGACACGTTTTAATCTGATCAAGAAATCATTGAAGTTAATAGCTGAAGACTTCTTTACCTCGCCAAGACGACCAAAAGCTCCAGAAACACCACCATATAGGGTAGAGAAAATCGCATACCAAATTTGGGTATCCATAAAGTAAACCTGCAGAAATATAAATCATTGAATTTGAAAGTTGGAACATGCAAAAGATGTTGTGTTGCTCAAATGCAAATTTATAACTGTAATCTTCTATGAACTTCAACTCAGCAGAGAGATACAAGAACAACGATGCAATGTGTTTGCAGGGGCATGATCAAGATAATAGATTATACTCGAACAAAGAGAACTAAACAAATCTTATCTACAACAAAGAAGCTTTACTGAATCTTACAAATAGTTAAATAGAACAAGGAAAAAAGAGTTTGGTTAATTAAGTGGGGAAGACAGGCCCCTACCCATTTTTCCAAATGGTTTAGGAGTTAGTTTTTTTGTAAAAATTATGATTACCAAAATTTCAAATTTGGAAGGATCTGGAAGAAAGATGAGAGAATGGACACCATTAATGAATGCACAAGGAAGAATCAACACAAGAGTGTAGGTAAGGAACCAATAATATTCCAACGAAAAGAAATTTTAGGGCCATCTTGGACATTTATACATGTTATAAAAGTAATAAAGTTTCACTTTGAAACAGTGTACAGTAAAACTCAATTTCTACCCAGTTCTCATGTTTTTGTAGGTTAATGATGAACCAAAATTTCAAATTTGGGAGGATCTGGAAGAAAGATCAGAGAATGGACACCATTAATGAATGCACAAGGAAGAATCAACACAAGAGTGTAGGTAAGGAACCAATAATATTCCAACAAAAAGAAATTTTAGGGGTATCTTGGACATTTATAGATGTTATAAAAGTAATAAAGTTTCACTTTGAAACAGTGTACAGTAAAATTCAATTTCTACCCAATTCACAATACCATAAACAACAGAGATGCTTACCAGTATTACAGGTGCCCAGAGTGAGACAATAGCACCAATATAATGTTGAGCTGTAATGACCAGAGAACATTGCCAATAAGTGGACAAATAAAAGAGTATGGTACCAGAAAGTAAACAAACTGTCTAAATAGTTCTAGTCTGATACCATTAGGGAAGAACTCATGCCAGGTATATTGCACATGACGAACATTCATGATGTCTTTTGTAGGTTTCACCAAAGGCTTTATCTGCATGAATATGACATATATATCCAAAAAACAATAACTAAGAAAATCAGACTGGAAATATATAACTTCATCTTGTAACAGAGTAGAGAGAAACTAAAGGTATTGCCTGGATGTAATAGCTGCATGCAAATTTGCAAAACAGAAGCAGCACCCAGAAAAAAGTGTACCTGAAGTTAGAAAAGTAAAGATTAATCATTCAAAACAAAATCAAACAGTTTGTCACATGTATTGCTATCCCGAAATATTAAATAAATACGAAGCATGCTGCAATGCCTGAGAGTAAATGTAAGCAGCGATATTATATTCGAATGAACCAGTAAGACAAGTAAGAAAAGGAAAATATTCCCAACTTACTTGAAAAGTGCAAACTGGCTCTCGTGCATCCCCCTTCCAATATAAATTCTTGGCTGCCAGTAATAAATTAGTGAAAAAACTGAGTCTGTCAAATGCAAGAAATCAGCAATTGCAATGTGATGGCCTTCAATAACTGGACAGTGCATATGCAGATATAATAGAGGAAAAGTGCGATTTTAAATACCTGAGACCACCATAGAAGAAATCTTATAATGTGCCAATCTGAGTTTTCTATCCAACGTCGCAGCATAGGAAATATAAAAAATATTCCAGCAAGAATATTTGGAAGCAAGTACAACAACACAGCCAAGATATACAAAGGTGGCACACCCAATGTATCATGAAGCAACATTCTCAAATCTTTCACTAGAATCGGCGGCTTTTTCCAGGAATGCATATAGCATACGGGTAGGATGACAACCCATGCAAGACTAAGAAGTATCTTGAGCACATTTCTCAACACATCAGTGAATTTCCATCTATGATAACCCGGGAAGTTCAACACAAAGTCCAAAATGCCTACCACCAGAACAAGGAAAGAACCCAATCAGGAATCAAAAAGTAACATCACCGCACAACAAAGGTCCAAAGAACCAAACTTATCAGAAGCGATTAAGAACTCAGAACTCAATATGGGGATTCTGTTATTTCCTACAAAGTACTTAAGAAGACGCATACAAAGAAGGAAATTATTTAATGAAGTTTGTTCTAAGTTGTTTCATTACAAGCTCATTTCAAACAAAATGTGTTTTTTCAATGCAGGTCATACAAATAATGCATAATGATAGTACATTTATGTCTGCTGCAAGCACTAATGCATATCAGTGTGCGTAGGGCCTAGATGATAGGTATTTAATGCAATACCATTAAAAGGCTTAAGTGAAGATGGCAGATGTTCCCTCTCTTACTTCAGCAAAAACTTCTTAAAATGAAGTTATAGCTGACATCTACGTGGTTTATCCGAGCATGAAACATAATATCAAGGCCAAGTGTATGACGACACTGTCATCATCATGAAAGGTTGTGAGAATGTTACATGAACACCCAATTTACACAAGAGAAACTCAATATGTCTGCTTGATACTCAACCTTCTTACTAGAATGTAAAACAATTTGTCAATGTGACATCAAAGATTCATGGAAACTTACCATACTAAGCATAACAGTATTCAGACAATACCATACTGAAGCATATAAAGAAAAAATATGACATGAAGATAATATAAAATTATGGATGAGAAGATGCATCTAAACTTATGGGGACTAAAGTAACATGTAAAATGTTATTTATAACAGACAATGAGTTTTACAATCGAAGTGAAGTATCTCTATATGCAACTGCATGTGTCATACTAACAGTCCAAATTAAGGCACCTAATGCTCCAGTTACCAGATCAGAAGTTAATTAGTCGTCAAACAAATTAATAAGAATGGCATTGATAAACACCTTTCATTAAGAAATCATAACAAAAATGTGTACACTAAAATGCAGAGAGCTCTTTCAAGTTCGCATAAAGATCAGGACTTGGTTGGATGTGCATTTATTGAAACTTAGTGGCTACTATTTAGGCCCATGTCTCATTGATTGTCAATGGTAGGATCGCAAGAAAAATCCAAACAGTTGTTTTAAGATTTTAATAATCTTAGAAAAGAACATCATATCTTAAGCTAAGAGGATATGCATACTTTGGAGGAGGCGTAGAACAGCAGCTGTGATGAAGATGCTTAACACAGGATACAAGAGGTCTTTCTGCATGATATCCAAAGGAGAAGCACCATGCCATGCAATTATAATCATAGCCTGCACAAAACCATTTCAAGCATAAGTTATTTAATTCAAGGTGTTTCAATCAAAACAGGTACACTATAAAGTTTATAACAAACAAATACCTGTAATGCCAGTATGTAGAACGTCCACATACGGTCAAAACTCCTAAAAATATGCCAAAATGTTCTGGTTTCTACAAAATTTGACTTCCCAGTTCTTTTCTCTGGTTTCTTTTGAGATGCATGTCTTCCCTGCTTGCCAATATTTTCCAAGGAATAAGTAGAAGTTTAAAAAAGATTTGTTTTGCTTGCATATGGTAAATTTTCAAATGCGACAACTGACTACCTGAGATGCAGACCTAGAATCACAAGTTGATTTAAAGAAATCACCATCATCACGCATAGGCCAACCCAGAGAGAAGCAATCAGCAGACCTGAGTTAAACAAGCATCCAGCTCCAATGTCAGTCAAATGAATAACAACTCCAAGTTAACGTGGTAGAAGAAGATGTCTCCAATTTCTGACTCACCAGAAATACTCATTTAAATCATCATAGTTACACCAAGCCGAATGAGGGGCCCTTCCGTTCTTGCTTTTCTTGGCTTCCTGAAGGATCACAGCAAAGATTATTATTTTGAAAAGTCAAATAAAAAGAAATGAGCAATAAGTCATCTAAATAATTGCACCTTTTCAATTACACGGTACACTGGGGTTACAACTTTTCTCAGAAAAGACTCGTCTTCCCCACCATAAGAAGGTTTAATGTTCTCCCCAGTTACAATGCTGACATTTCCAGCCAATAGACCATGAAGTTCATATGCCATCTAAAAAGTAAAAATTTACCATCAGTTATCTCATAGAAGAAAATAAATTATAATTTAACCAGTAGCAGTGACATCAAAAAGAACAGATAAACAAAAGGAATTTCATCTAAACCATACCGATCAAAAAGAAATTACTAAAGTAGAACATAGTTAATGCTACCCACATTATGAAAAATGTAGCATAGGCACTCTGGCATAAAGCGAACATTTGCTGCTTCACCCCAAATCAGAAGATAGAGACCCATATAAAGTATCTTCCTCTGCTGCACATCTTGTTGCCCTTGTGAGAGCCTGAGATGATGAATTGGATTTAATTAATTCTACAGCCTCAACAATATATGAAGAACCACAAAAGCTATTGGTTTATCCAATGCATCCATGCAATAACAAAGTCACACAACAAGTTGGTCTGAAAATGTAAATGTTGGCAAAATCTTGTTACTCCATCTCACCGCAAACTGTGCTTACGTCCCAAGAATTTGCACCAGGTTTTGTAGTTTTTGAAGAGCTTGCCCATAACTGAATCTACAGCGCGGTCATCCAACTGTAAGAGAATAAAATGGTCAAACAACATTCATAGTTCACAAATTATTATGCAATGGGAAGGGCAACTCTAGAAGAAAATAAGAAAATCACAACTCATCACCAATCAAAATGAATTAGTCCACTTAAAGGTGTTGTCTCAAAAATCACAAAGTATCACCCTTCTCTGTTCATATGAAATACTTTATAGTCAAGGTGCTTCCAAATGTTCATGGCATTGTAAACGTTGTGAGGTCCAACAAAAGACCTTTCACATTTCTGAAGTACCAAGTGAACAGTGAAAATTGCAACAGATACATTACCTGAAGAATGAGAGACAATAAATGATTTGCTCCAGAATATAACATGTTACTATACATTAAGACACAAAAGGCACATTATTTCTAGTTTAACTTTAGTTATGAGCACCACCAGCTCTATTATGTCCCCCATATCAGGGTTACCATTCCATGTCAGGCTCCACACATAGTTCAAAAGATTGGTCACATAGTTTAAAAAAGTGGCCCACCTAGTGCCTAGGCAGGCTAGGGGGACCTCAGCGCATTGTCAGGCCTAGGTAGCCCTTCTGGGAGCTGGTTCCCCGGGCACCCGCCCAGGGACCCGAGTCTTGCGTCTAGCGCCTAGCCTTGGGTGGATACAGTCCCAAGGTGCCCACACAAGGGCAAAAATGCCCCTCATATCCATTTTCCCCCTGAAAAAGGGAGGAAGGAGTATTTCGGTTTTATTGTGACCTAAACCACTTTCTTTACCTTTTAGAGAAAAAAAATGGAAAAAAAAACTGCATTTTTGCATTTTTGTAAGATAGATCGGGTAATTCAAAGTTTTGAAAAATTCATCCAAACATCATCCTTTTGGTTTGGATTTGATTTTGTAGATTTTAGAAGCTTATTGAAAAATTGGTCTAAACATGGGCTCGACTCCGATGCATATGATGCAACTGACCCTACTTTTTCTTAGGATGACTGAAGACTCTTTGAGTCTTCAAGTCCAAATTTCTTTCCTTTTTTTTTTCTCCTCTTATGTGTATAGACTATGGAGTATGAAGCGTATGGACTATGGATTATGTGTTATGTCTAGTACTGAATTTGAATGCTGGATTCTATTTTCCTATTTTTCTTAATGTGTTATTAACTAATTGTCCAAATCTCAAATACTTTGGACCTCAATATGCATTTTTTTTACTATGTATGGAGTATGGACTAATGGTGTGGAGGGTATGGACAATGGATGAACTATGTATTATGCATTCTTAATATGTCATGCCTTAACATGCATTTTTTACACTGAATTTGAACCTAAAACAGTTGGATCAGACACCTCCCACCCCTACTCTTCCACCTGGGCCGCCCAGAAACCTGGGCGGCAGGCAGCCCCGCCATTTTTTGAAACATTGATGGGTCAAAAAGTATCACATATACATATTTAAAAAGTAAGCTTAGTACTTAACATAGAGCTTCATCATACTAAACCATTGCTCTTAGGCATGTTCATTTTGCAAGTCCATATTTGAAGAAACCCCAATTAAGGAGGTGCTACTGCTAAGCATACAAATGTATGTATGCATCATGCTACATATACCAAATAAACAAGGTCTTGCTTAAACATAAACAGATACCAATGTATGTACATGGATATATACACAAATATAGGTACAAATAAGCTTCAGAAATGCCTACAAATGCTTGAAGCTGCAAAGATTCAGAATTAATGACATTACCTTGTTAAGAGGTTCAGGCTTCGGAACCAGTCGTATATGTACATTGGCAAGCATTAATATCAAATGCTCCCTCTGGTTCCTGACATTGTCCCTCTGTGAAGCCCACATAAAGCCACAGTGCAATTAAAAAATATTTCTCCAATTAGCATATATCATTTCACAATCAGCATATATCATTTCATCGATTTATGGTCCCAATACTGCACAAACATAAGCTTGAATGCATAAGTTCACTATTCAACTGACCTGAAATCCGAACATAGCCCTCAGCCAATCAAGAAGATCTAGGTCTCCAGATTTCTGCCTGTGCTGTTCAAATGTGGCAGGCCAATTCAAACCACGAGTGTTCCACAAAGCAGCAACTGCTGCTTTAATCTGGGGATACAAGTCCATCCATTCATGTTATCTAAATGTAGGACATAAAGTAATGGATAGAAAGATACAATCCATGTTAAATAAAGAAAATAAGTAATCATATTAACATGGTGTCACTAAAAGAAAGAAAAGTCCATGTAGACAATTCAAGCAAGAAAAACATGTTTTGTTGCTCTTTTTTCTTTTGATGAGTATATCTGTTTCCAATTCCCTCTTGGAATTCTCTCCAATGGTTGCTACAATCATTGTTATACCTCTTCAAGTTGCATAATAGATTGGGAAGCACCAGCAGCATCCAGAGGAAGAATATTATACGGGGTATAAATTTCCGTCTTTTCTTGGACATCTCTGGCAGCCGCAATAATCTGCTCAGTGTTATAGGATCAAGAGAGATAATTCAAGAAATTAGTTCAAACGAAAGGTTGGCTTAAAAGAAACAAAAAACCCTTAAATGCTGCATATGATTAGGAGATGGGACCATTACAACTAAACATAAATAGTGAGAAACTTATGAAATTTTAAATTGCTCTTGGAGCTCTATGTGCACAACAAGTACAAACCTCAGGAGCAACTTCTTCGACTTTTTCAGTCTTGTTAACAGCACAAAGCACTTCAAAGAGCACTCCAGCAGTTTGGTAGGCCTTTCCAAGTTGAGCTCTATGAAGAAACAAAATCAGAAAAAATAAGCAAATTTTACAATTACCCCCAAGATTTGGTGTTTGGTGATTTTTTTTCTAGGACCATTTTTTTGAGATGGTGATTAAAACAATAGATCAACAATTTCACTAAAAAAAATTGATTTTGGGCACAACTAACAGTGGATTTATCATGCACCAAACCAGATAGCTAACAATGCACCATATTCACTCTCTTTGAAACCCCATTTTTTAGACTTTCTTTAAAATATTTTTTTTCATGGGATTCTCTAAGGTCAAGAGGATGTGTGTGCAAACGATGGCCCTAAAAAAATTGCACCTAACACCAAATATGAGGGATAGTTGAACTTGTACATTGTTAGCATGTAAGAGAGGGTTATTCTTGGATGCACCACTCTAATGGTGAAGTTAGAATTTCTACTGCAAAATTTTCGACCATAAAATCCATTATATGTCTGAAAATGTGCTATAAATAGTTCAGTTATTTTTGGAAGGGTATTTTTGTTATTCAAACTCCCTCCAAAAGTCAATGTCAAATTTAAGAAGATTCCTCTGACTTGTTTAATCATGTTTTAATTTTAAAAGTAATTTAAAATTATAAATATGCCCTTTCTTAAATTTTCAAATAAGTTATTGCCCATGTAATTTTTATATTTGTAAGGCCATTTTATGGTCACAAATTTCGGAGTAGGAAATTCGAAGTTCACCGTTTGAGTGGTGTAGCATAAAATCGCTCCCCCCCCCCCCCCTTCCCCACACACACACCCCCACACACAACACAACACATACACACACATAAATATATGTACATTATTTTATAAGACCATCTATTTTTGGTATAAGGATTAACCATTAGATTGTGAAATCTGACAGCTTAAAGTATCACATAGTTTGAGAAATTATATTTTCGTGCTCAATTAGTGATACAACATCAGCCAACTGACTTCACATCTAATGGTCAATAATGATTATGACTTCCTTGTACCAAAAGTAAATAGTCTTATTGTGTGTGTGTGTGTGCGTATGTGTATGTGTATCATTAAGAACATATATATATATATATATATATATCACTAAGAAGACAATAGCACTTTTTACTTCAAGTTGCAGAAAGAATTGAACATTCTACATGACTTTTTCTACATTCTACGTGACTTTTTCTATGTGTAGGTGTACATCTCTTCTTAAAGGATACAAGAAATATATGCATGCATATATAGATCATTTACTGATGCATACCTATCTGCCTGCTCTCCTCTATCCAGAGCTCTAACATAATGCTCATAGTATTGTTGGTAAAAGCTCTCTATCTCTCGTGCATCACTTTTTTTTATCCTTGCTGCAAGACTCGGTGCATTGTCCTGTCCATGGAAATCAATATATTATTTGCACTTGCAAAAAATGAAACCTTTGTAATTTGTTTGCTTCATTAGGAGCAAAGCAAGGGTAAACTAGGAGGTCACCCATCCTAGAACTGCTCTTGCAAAAGCACACTAAACTTTTGAGTTCTCATGGGATCCAGTCCATTAATGCTTGCAACCATAGATTGCAGTAGTTAAAACCTTCAGACACAGTAATCAAAACTAAAGCATTAACTGTTTTGCAAAAAGTTATATTTTTAGTATTCACAACGATATTCCAGTTCTTTGTTTTTCCATAAGATAAAACATAATATTCAAAACTAAATATTGTGCCTAAAAAGATATCATGGATGGTGTCATTCAGTTCAGACGGTAGATGACTAATAAGTAATAACCACAATCTAAGATAGCATATTATTTTACCTTATGGATCAAAACCTTAAATCAGAAGTTTGAAAATATCAGAGAAAAAGTGTTCTATTGTGAATTGGTACAGTTATATGAAGCCTTAGAACCAGTCATTAATAGACAGCTAATAATTTAGTATATCTCAATTGGTATGCATAAGGAGAAAGAAAACTAATATGACAAATATAGCTTCCATGGTAATATATTGTACGAATATCAACTTAACAACTCCTGTAACACTGTCAATTCCCATTGTCAACCATTCTTTAGAATAATAAAGTTTTGCACAGTATATGTTCATCTCAAGTTTTATAGACACCTGTTCATTCGCATTCTTAAATCTGAAATACTACAACATAGAATTAGCAAGCAAGGTTCACTTCAGTGTTTCTGAATTACATTTCTCAAACCATGGCAGCGGTGTCCTCTCAATCCATGGCAGCGGTTGCAACAAGAAGCAGGACAGTCCTAGTTTCATTTAGAAGAGAAGAAATCATGTACCAAATGTTCCAAGAACAGGACTTAATAGTGTGAATGCTGCAATAAGAAACTATATTCATTTTCAACAATCGGCGAAGAAAACAGGCACAGAAGGAGAATTTAATTTATTTCCTATCACTCTATGCTACAGCAATAAGTGCCCTAAGGCACATTCTTGCTTTCGCTCCCATAACCCAATCCAGGCCCTAGCATCCCACTTCATACATAATTATTACTTTTCATTTCTACTTGAACCATAGAAATTGTAAGAGGCTTTGATAATCCACCACCAGCATCACAAATCTTTAACAACCAACTGTGCATCTATACACCCAGCCAAAAAGAATCTCCAACACATTAGCAAAAGGAACAACTTTCTAGAGTCAAAAGATAAGCATTAATGATTTTGGCTATCCAAAAGGAATAAACATCCTTTTTTCAAATAATGGCCGAAGGGATGTTCAGGAAAAGTTTTTGCATCCATTCTCTAATGCCTCTCCTATACAACATGACCATTTAAAAATGCTAACCCCTCTCATAATTACTTTTTAGCCATTGGCATCAAAATCAAACTTTACTTCATGCAATGCCTAATTTTATATTTACCACCATCGCTGTGCGGACATCAACATAGTTGTCGTCGTCTAATACATATCATGGGGAATCCAATATGGCATCCCAAATTTTCCAATCCGCCCCTTTCTAGATACTTCTAAAAAATGGTCAGTTCCTTATATGAATATTTATCACTCGGCGATTGATAGTTTTAATGTGCAAGTTTCCACACATGGGCACTTCTAAAGTTGTGTTAGAATCTTGAAAAATACTGAGCGACACATCTAAGAGTCCATTACTTCCATGGGAATCCTTAAAGCAATTCAGACACTTGGTGAGGTATTAACCAACATTAATGGGATATTGTGCATGAATACTTCATGCCAAAAGTGCCAACAAGTCTTTAGGGTTTGCCCAAGACTGTTTTTTTTAGGTGAGTCAGTGGGGAGAGGGCCATCACCCATGGTAGGAATTGAGCTTAGGATGTAGCCAGGCAATTTGTCAAGTGCTAACCAATTAAGCACAGTCTCTTTTCTTGTTTGCCTAAGACTGTTACTAAAGTTGTTCGTACAACTACTAAGATGTGTTAATGAATCAACATTGTTCACTAAGCATAAAGAAATTTTTCTTACTGAATTGGTAGGAAATGACCCTGGAGCTCTGAAACAGAACAAAGCTTACAACAATAACTAGAAGCTCCACAAAAATCTTCACCCACCCAAACGCCTTCAATCCAAATTGTGTATGTGTCAAGGAGTTGATCCCACAACAGGTATCGGAAGAAGATGACAACCTTGCTCCAATTCATACCTAGAGTATTTGGTTTGTAGAAATCTCTCCAAACTCGTCACTCAACTGGTGACATTCAATATCTGGAAATGGCAATTTCTGAATAAGATTAAACTATAAACTCTATGCAGTGAAACCAAAATGCACTTGAATTTGTTATAACCTGGGGCACTTAGCATAATGTTCCTTACTGAACTTTTCCTCTTGACTGATTTGAAAAAATGGGATTTGAATGTTCAAACTTGGAGTTACATTTTATAATTAAAGAAATTTAATCGCTATAGGATGTAGCGCGCTCCTGCCGCCTAACATTGAATAAAGCCACTCTTTCTCATATTTGGAGGGAGATTGACCGTGAGATACCTATCTATCTTTGTCATTTTCGAGAAGTTGTGGGTAATGGGGAATCTACACTTTTCTAGAATGATAAATAGTTTGGTGACTATCCTCTCAGATACCGCTTCCCTAAAGTGTTCTCTACAGTAAAGGAGACTAGTGGGGATGCTCATACTAACATTGTTTGGTCAATTCATTGCAGGTACAAGATAATAACTAATACTTTTATCCATGAGTATCAAACCTTGTTGGACATGTTAAACAATGTCCAACTTTTCCCTACTCTATAGGATGATGTGATCTGGGACTTTACAACCTCAAGGGTACTACCTGGGGGGAAGGGGCGAGGGTCCGCATATACTCTTATCTTTTACAATCGATATAGACAACTGGATCCATGGCTTTCTCAAATAAAGAAACTCCATGTTCGGCTTAAAGTTCAGTTGTTTCTATGGATATTTCGTCAAGACAAGCTAGCCACTGTGGATAACTTAAGGAAGCGAGGGTTCATTATACGCAATGTCTGCATTTTGTGCAAAGCTAGCAACGAGATGGCCCAACATTTATTCCTCTTCTACCCTTTCATTTTTTATCTTTGGAATGGGATTTGCCAATGTTTCAACTTATCTATTCCAATTCCATAATTTTGCAGATTATTTATCTCTCAGTGGTTATCCCCTAGTATCCCAAAGGTGGGCAATGTATTTTGACATTCTCTATGGGTAAGTGTCCTTTGGGGTGTGTGGAAGGAGAGAAACCAAAGAGTGCTTGAAGGAATCTTTACTGATTTTGCTATACTAAAATCTAATATTTTAGCCTTATCAGCAGATTAGTTTTCCTCTCACAAAGATAGTGGCACTACACCAAAGAGTTTTATCATTAACAATGCCCTTTAGCAATCACAACCTTGGGCAACATGAGATCTACTCGAAGAGCTATTGTTTGGTCTCCTCCTCCTTTATACTCAATCAAATTGAACTTTGACGGCAGCAACTTTGGCAATCCAAGAGCAGTAGGCTATGGTGGGTTGATTAGACATCATTTGGGTCATGTATTATGCTCATATTCACGTCAGTGTGGTATTACTATCGCTAATGAAGCAGAGGCTAGAGGTCTCCTGGAGGGTTTGAAACTTCTTTCACGGTGGGAATGGCATAAGATTATTGAATGAGATTCGACAAATGTCATGGCATGGAGCCATGAAGAATTCAATGTTCCATGGAGACTTAGAGTATTATTTCATAAGGTCAGGAACATCCTTTCTTCTCAACGCTATCTTGCATCATTGCTATTTTGAGGCAAATGAGGAGGCAGATGCCTTAGCCAAAGCAGGGGCAAACTCCACCTCTCTGCTTGTCAATTTTTTCTAATGCTTCCTCTTTTTTATTTCCCGTACATTCTGTATCTTGTTTCTCTTTTTTAATTTAATGGAAATGTTGTGTTAATGTTAAAAAAAAAAAAGATAAATAAAAAAAATACAAGTCCTAAATATGGTGCATCTTGTAATAAGTTATCTGAACTATCTATTTTCATGATTTTTAATTGTTTATATATCTACTCAATCTGTACCATTTTTTAAGTTTTTAATAATGAAGAATGAAAATAGATTTTTAAGCCAGCATAAGGTTTTCGACACTGGACTACATCTCCAAGCAAATTTTAGAGGTGTGCCTTACTTCTATAGTACAAGGAAGGCGCCTTCTATAAACCTCACCCATAGATAAAGCAATTTTCTTGTTCAGGCACACCTCAACTCCTGCGATAAATGCAGTTCGAGCGTGAAAATTTTAGTTGTCATTTATAGTTATCATTTATTTGCATACCATGACAATACTTTCCAACACTAATTAAAAAATTTTGTGTGAAACTATAAGTACGACTGTACAAAATTTCATAAAGCTATTGACTTTGCCAAAAATATCATTCAAAAAGAATAGTATTGGAGGCTTCTTTGTAATACAGATGGTTCTAATCCTACTCTGGTTTCATACCATAAAAATGAGTTTTCCTTGATGCATTGGAGGAGGCCATGTAACGGTTC